AGGGGAGGGGAGGGGAGGGGAGCAGCAGCGCCGTCCTCGGGGGCTCCGCCTGGGGCAGCGCCTCCTCCATCCTGCTTGGGTGCGAAGCGCGTCCCTTCGCCAAGCCAGCTCCCCGCCCGGGGACTCTGGCGGCGCCTCGGCTTCTACCCGGGAGAGGGACCGCCCCAGGTTTTCCGCTGCTCTGGGCGAAATCGCGCTGGCGCCTCTCGCTCTCTCGCTCCCCCTTCGCAGAGGAGAAGGAATACATTATGCCATTATGATGATGATGATTACTACTAAGAATTGTCACCCTCAGATGTTTGACTGGTCGAGGGCGTCCTGCAATTCGAGATCTTGGCAAGTTCTTGGGAATGGCAGACCTTGTCTTCCCGGGATTCTTGCTGTTCGAAGCAACCCTGCCTTCTGGGGCTGAGCTGGTGTCGTGTGCTCAGTGCCCAGAAGGTCCAGGTGTTTCTTCGAGGCAATCGCATCACCACCACCATTATTACCCATCATTGCAATTCTTGAGAGCCTCCTAATTAATGGACTTCAGATTCTGGTCCCTCAGCTTGAGTCCTCATGAATTTACAGTAGATTGTATGGCATGTGATTGACCCCTCGTTCTTCTGCCACTTGTTTAGGGAATTTATATGCCACCTCTCCCAAGACCTGCTAGGGGTGGATCACAAGAAAAGAAGGGGAAAATTCCAATGTGGCTTCCTCCCATATTGTCCTGCCCACCAGCTGGGAGGGGAGAGGCTGTGGCTCACTGGCAGAGCAGCTGCTTGACATGCAGAAGGTCCCAGGTTCAATCCCCGGCATCTCCAGTTAAAAAGGACCAGGCAGTAGTTGATGTGAAAGATGCATCCCAAATATGAGGTGCCTCTTCTGAAAGTGCCCTGTCTCTAGTTGCTACTTACTTCTCCAGTTTGGTGTAGTGGTTAAGTGCATGGACTCTAATCTGGAAGAACTGGGTTTGATTCCCCACTCCTCCACTTGCAGCTGCTGGATGACCTTGGGCAAGCCATAGTTCTGACAAGAGCTGTCCTTGAAACGGCAGTTTCTGTCAAGAGCCCCACCTGCCTCACAGGGTGTCTATTGTGGGGAGAGGAAGGGAAAGGAGTTTGTGAGCCGCTCTGAGACTCTGGGTGAAGGGCGGGGTATAAATCCAATCTCTTCTTCTCCGCAGGAGGGGTACAAAAAATAGGGCTTGAGAAGGTAATCTTACCCAGCTAGCTAGACAGTTAGTTGCTCTTTATTTATACTTGGTGGAAGACCTGAATACCTCTTTGGACTTGATTGAAAAGTGGCCTTCAGATTTTAGTAGTTTCACAGTACAAGTTTCCTACTTGTATCTGATGAAGGGAGCTCTCAGCTCTTGACAGCTTGTATCCTGAACATCTTGTTAGTCTCTAAGGTGCTACTGGACTCAAATGAAGACAATTTAATAGGTCAACTTCAAAACGGATTTTATTGCCAGCCCCTGCATCTTATCTTAGGCTGAGCAGTGTTAGAGGTATCATGTCCAGGATGGACCAGAATGCTCTTTCCTCATTTCCATTTTTACTGAATGTCCCTTCTCCCCTTCACGGCTGTGCCCTGGCTGGCCCGTCAGCCTCCTGGTCATGTCCCTTGTAAGGGAGAGTCCACCCAACGCTCCTGCATGGCCTGCAGTTAGCTGAGTTTGGTTAGGCTAAGAGTGAGCAACTAATGGCCTACCACCGGTCACCCATTGAGCTTCCATGGCAGAGGCGGGATTCAAACCATGGTCTCCCAGATCCTAGTCTGACACTCTGAGCAGGACAGACGATGCAGTGCCTTCCTGAGGCTCCTTATGTTCTGTGCTCACGACAACCGTGTGGGGTAGGTTTTGTTGCAAGGTAGGGACGGGCCCACGTCACCCAGTGAGTTTCCTGGCAGAATGGGGATATGAATTCTGGTCTCTGGACCACAACCTCCATCAGCTGCTCCAGGCAGGCCTCTTCTTGCTGGGAATCCCATACCAGGATAGACTTGGGCTGAGAGAAAGGAATTAGAGGGAGGGGTCTACAGGGATGAACTGGGATTGGGGAAGAGTTCACCTCATGGCCTTGCACATCCCTTTTGCTCCTCTTACTTCAGCATGGGGGACGTGGAATGGTATGAAATAGCCCAGTCTGATCACCTCTCAGGGGGTAAGCAAAGTCCGTACTTGGATGGGGGAACCATCAAGGAAGACTGAAGAGGAAGGCAAAGGACAAGCCACCTGTACTTCCCACTCACCTTGAAAGCCCCTGCATGGAGTTGCTATAAGTCAGTTGTGACTTGACAGATAGTGCTGGCAGAAAGCCAATACATGGCGACTCTGTAGAGTTTCCAAGGCAAGAGATGCAAAGAGGTGGTTGGCCATTGCCTGCCAGTGTGTAGCGACCCTGGACTTCCTTGGTGGTCTCCCATCCAAGTCCTCCTAATCGGGGCCAACCCTACTTAGCTTCCAAAATCTGACAAGATCAGGCTAGCCTGGGTCATCCAGACCAGGGATGATCACATGGACACATAATTCAACATGACTAGGGCAGCTTTGTGCTAAAACGCTTTGGCACATCTTGGCTAAAGGGAGGAGCCCCCTAAAATCTCAGCAGTCCAGAGAGTGGCTCAGGTAGCCTCTGGAACTAGACTGGCCCTGGGGCCTGATGGAGCAGCCAGCTGGGCTCCGTTCGCAGGAGGAGACGTGTAGCCAAGGCCTGAGGCCTGGTTTGCTCAACAACGCTGTTTGCAAAACACGTTGGCAGGTGGACCTAGAAGGGTGGGTGAATGCAGGGACTGTGATCCCAGGCTGATAAAAGTGAATCTGCGGCTGGAGGCAAAAAGAGCTTTTGAACCAGTGCTGTAAATGCCTCCCTTTTATTTTTATAGCAATCCTGCTGTGTCTTTACTGCTGAGGAGGGCAAGAATGCCATAGGTGCTGCTGTTCCTGGCAGAGTGAGGCTATAATTGGGCATTTTACCTTTGGAATTCTGCTCATCCTAAATGCACAGAAGTCTCTCTCTCTCCCCTGTGTGTGTGTGTGTGTGTGTGTGTGTGTGTGTAGGAAATGGCAATCCTAACCTCCTTGACAATCTGCTCAAACCTATTTCCAAAGGATACCTTAAGTTCCAGCAAGGGATGCCTCTAAGCACACAGAGAGTATATCTGTGTCAGCAACAGAAGAACTAAAGCCATTCTCACAATACTGAATTTCCGAACTAGAGCTTCTTGCCCAGAGCCTAGAGGCCCAAGGGCCTCCAGCCTGCTAAGAGCTGGCCTGCTTTCTTAGGGCCCAGCTCAGATGCAACAGGGTGTGCCCACTTTGGGGGAGAGAGACAGGAAGGTCTGGCTCACACCCCCGCCTCCACCCCACCCTCCTTGAGGCTCTTTGTCTCCAGCTACTGGTTTTAAGGGTTATGGACCTTCAAGCTGGCTTCAGTCCCAGTGTTTCTGCTCCCGGGGGGGGGGGGGGTGTCCACCAATGGCACCTCCTCCCTGCAATAGTCTCAAGCGATAAAAGGGAACCAGCCACCAGATTAGAGAAAGCTCAGCCCAAAGGAATGCGGCCCAGAGGCTCCTTCCCCTCGCCCCGGCTGCAGTCACCCCACATCCATCCGGCTGCTTGGAGAGCTCTTATCTGCAGCCCACCCTGTGCAAACAGCCAGGCCTTCTAGCAGCAGCCACTCTCTGGTATATGGAGCCACTTGGCTCAAAACTGCTACTCCGCCAGCGCTCTCAGAGTTTTGCTGGGTAGGCCTGACTTTCCCACCTTCTCAAGTGGTGGGGACATAATCCCAAATCCCATCACTATTGCTAAATAGGGAAGGAGCAGATTTGATTCTGCTGGGTGAAGACTCTTATACTGAGCAGACTACCATTTCAGTTCATTCATCCCACCCAGAAGAGTTTTCTATCACCCTGCTGACCCCTGCTAGTTGCAGGGGGGGGGATTGACAGGATTGCAGTACAGTTTGGCCAGAACAATGGATTGCACAACCCCTTCCCCCCATGCAGCTTTTAAACTTTCGCATAGAGCTAGCCCAATAATAGAGGCAAACTATGCATCTGCCTTTCATGGAGGAGTTAACATCTAGACATTCAGTCCAATTTTTGCTTAATTCTTTGCCGTCTCTTGAAAAAGGCAGTTTCTGCGCAACTCTGCTTCAGTATTCGCTCACTCAATGTATGCGGTTTTTAAATATTTACAGACAGCAACGTATATGAATTGCAATACATTATCAGATCAAAAGGGACAGGGCTTGCCCAGTAGGCTATGTATAGCAAGAGCGCCTCAACACACAAGGAGGAAAAACAGAGTGACTAACAAAATCCCTGTGTTCCTTCTCTACTCTCAATGCACGCATTCATACCCATATACTAAAAAGGAGAGTCTTGCAGCACCTTAAGCCCTGCTTAAACAAGTCTGAGGGCAGCATATTCTTCTGTGGGTTTGAATCCAATTCTCGAAAGTGGAGGATTAATCTGTTTGCTTTTGCTGTAACAGGCTTAATGTGGCTACCCGGATACGGAATCTGGACCCACTGTACATTGCCACAAAGGGGGATGGGAAGATATGAAAAACTGGCAAGGAGGAACGGGGAGAGGAAGAGAAGGGCGCAAAGGGCAGGAGTGGCCATTATAGAGAGCTGGCCTGCAACCCTCTTGCAGAGACCTCACGACCCGCTTTTTGGGTCTCAGCCCAGCATTAAACTATCAGGTCAACCTGGTTGAAAGCAGAAGATATTAGTTCATCTCTGCTGCCCAGGCTGTTGCTTAAAGCCCTCAAATTAAGCCTTTGGCCAATCAATCCGCTCCCCCCCCCCCCGTTTTGTTTTCAATTTCACAGAGAGGAAATCCAGAAGGGCTGGAGCATTACAAAATGACCTTAATTCATTTATGGGTGTCTGCTGTTTCTCTTACTGAGACTCCATGCTGCTGAGCCATTTCTCTCCACCAGTTCCCCATCTCCCTTTTTCCCCTCTCCTTTCCAACACCACCACTGGCTGCTCCATCTTGAAAGCTCCCCTAAATTACCTGTGCCTTAATGGCTGCAACACACGCATTTCTTCTTTATTGGCTCTTAAGGATAGTCAAATGCTCCGCATTTGGGAATGACTGTTCATCAGGGCAGGATTACACTTTTCTGGACTGCCTGTGTGGCTGGAAATAAGCGGGAGTCAGGAGCAGAAGTGCTATTTTCAGCAGGGGATCAGCGCACAGTTTGTGTTTAGAAACTGGGGGGTGGATTTCTTTTCTCTTTTTTAAAGGATGACCCATAGGCAATATGATAATAATTCAAGAAGACAAAAAATATTTTAATGAACCTACTATGTGGCGTTAACAAGTATATCATTATACAAGCACAGAGCTAGACTGTTTGTAGAGGAGGTAGGTAATACGACACTCATTGCAGGCGAAAATTTACTGTGAGCCATCTTTCTGATCCCCAGTGATATCCAACTCTGGCTAAAGATCTTAAGCTTAATTGCTTTTTGCTGGCATGCAAGGGTTGCCAGTCTCCAGGGGGGACCTGGGGATTGCCCAGAATTACAGCTCATCTCCAGACTACCGAGATCCCCTGGAGAAAATGGCTGCTCTGGAAGGTGGACTCTATGGCATTGTGCCCCTGTCCTCCTCAAGCTCCACCCCCAAATCTCCAGGGGTTTCCCAGCCTGAAGCTGGAAACCCTACTTCTGATGACCTTTCCTTCCCTGACAGAACAGCCAACACGAGAGCCATGTGTCAGGTCACTGTAGGGGGGGGGTTATGGGAAGTCAAACGAAGGAGGTTTGTTTTTATTTTTCAACAAATGCTTTTCCTACAATGCCAGTCTATCCCAACCTTCTTCCAAGGAACTTGGAGCAATGTTCCTTCTCTCCCCTCCCCCCCACACTTTATCCCTATAATATTGTGAGGTACCGGTAGGTCAGGCTGAAGTAAAGTGACTGGCCCCAGTTCATCTGGTGAGGGCATTTGATCCAGCACTCTGTTTTCTACACCACAGTGGCATGCAAGCCACCCCCCCCCCCAGGGGTGGCCTGGGAGGAAAAAAATGGCCCCGTGGAAAAGGTACCATCCCTAGGCCCTCCCCCCCCCCAAAAAAAAGGAGGAAGGGGAAAAGTCAGCCCTGCACGGTTTGGCTGGGTGCTGTGTGGCTTCTTCCCCACTGGGCATGGGGCTCAGACTGCTGGCTTTTAGCGGCAGCAGCTGCCACCCACCTAGCAGAGCGCCTGGGCCACCCCTCGCTGGGAACCGGGGACAATCTGGTTGAGGGGCAGCCCCTAGGCTATCAGTCCACTAGAATTTTTCCTGGTGGTCTTAGTGGCCAATCCGCTCCTGCTCCTCCTTAATATCCAGACAAGCATCCATATTAATTTGGGGGAGGGGGGTAAGTGTTGAAAGAAGACGGGAAATGGAGAGTGGTGAGTCTAAGGGCTTTTCTGCAATCCTTTACGTTGCTTCGATGCAGGCAGAATTAGTGGGTCTATATGGTTTCTTCAAAGGCTTCCAGATGAGAGCGAGCCATGGGGGAGGGGTGCATTCGCTCTCTCTCCTGCTCTCCCACAGCAAGAGGAAAGCAGCGTGGCCCCAACCATGAGCCGCTGTTAGAAACTCTGCTCCAAGTGCCTACCGCCTTTGATCCAGCACTCTGCATGCAGACGTGTTGGGAAGGACACCAGAAGGACACTCTCGCCCAGCATACCTTCCCTCCCAGCAGGAACACCAAGCAAGGGAAAGATTAAGTCTGGCTTCCACTGCAGGTTAATGCCTGTTGGCCACTCCCCACCATCCTGGCATTGCCAAATTGATCCACCCTCCACTGCCATTCCTGTGTTCTTTTTCAGTTTGTAAGCCTAAGAGTTCAGGACAGGGATCTTGTTTTGATGTTCAGTGCCTGTCCCCAGTCTTTATGAACTCAACTGTCATTTACTGTACTTCATTTAAGTAGGTTTGGAGTAATCAATACTATACAGCCCCTCCCCCAAATATTTAAGTTTTTAAACTGCTTATTTCTGGTCTCTTTGCCCCCCCCCCCCACAGCTGTGGGCTTTGCCACAAGGCAGATCGCAAACATGACCAAACCCTCCGCTGTGATTACTGTTGATGGGGACAAGGTAACGCTCAAGACTCAGAGCACTTTCAAGACCACAGAGATCAGCTTCATACTGGGAGAAGAATTTGATGAGACCACTGCGGATGACAGGCACGCCAAGGTAAGGCTCAGCCCATGCAGCATCTCTTGGCCAGCCAGTCAGAAGATGCCATTTGGGCAAGGCAAGGGGAGTGCCTAGTTCTGGCTTGCCCTGACCCGGATGGCCCAGGCTAGCCCGATCTCATCAGATTTTGGAAGCTAAGCAGGGCCAGCCCTGGTTAGGACTTGGATGAGAGACCACCAAGGAAGTCCAAGGTTGCTAGGCAGAGGCAGGCAATGGCAAACCACCTCTGTCTCTTGCCCTAAAAACCCTACAGGGTCACCATAAGTTGGCTACAACTCAACGATACTTCACACACCCACAGAGCTCAGGCTTGTGATTAGCCACTAGCTTGGATGCTTGCAAAGGATTAAAAATAGTAGCAGGCAAATTTTCTTCTAAGACTTGAATGCCAGGGCTATATTCCGAAATCCTGCGGTTTCATTTCAGGTAACCATACTTTGTCTTTACAACTTCTTGACAAAGATGGGGGTAGGAATGAAATGCATGAGCAAACTTGGCCGTAAGCTGAATTGTAGATGCTGAAGATTTCTCTCTTCCACTCTTGAAACTCAGCATAGTGCTAAGGGGATGGTTTCTTTTCTGTGTTCTGGGAAGTGCAAAAAGGAATGCTGGGGACAGAGTGAAATGTAGAAGAGAAGCACAGAGAAGAAATTCTGCCAAGAGAAGAAAGGGATGGGCACCGTTTGCTCAGTTCTCACTTAAAAGGCTTGGCTACTTTATCGTGAAACCTCAACTAAGAGGAAACTTCATGAGGATCATGAAAGAAAAATCCCACTGCTTTGGAACACACAAGCTCTTATCTGCATTTCCTCTAACAAGGAGATAGATAGATAGATAGATAGATAGATAGATAGATAGATAGATAGATAGATAGATAGATAGATAGATAGATAGATAGATAGATAGATATAGATATCAGTTTTGCCTGCCTCATGGGAACAAATTTGTTCAGTGTACTGGATTTTGCTTTGGAATGGGTCTGCCCTATGAAACCAAGGCTTTTTTCCATTTGGAGATTTTTCTCCCACATGGAATGCAGGAAGCGCCTGATTTAAATGCATTGCTACAGCTCAGCGGACTGAAATCAGACCAACCGATAAGAGCATAAATGGTATCATGTGAACAGCAGACCACACCTACCTTGAGAGAGGTTAGGGGAAGACATAAAACAATGGCAAAGTGCCAGATCATTTCTCGATATTTCAGCCAGCTCCTTGTGTGGGCAAGAGGCAAAGTTTCTTTCTCTGAGAATACGTGAAACTTAATGTGTGTGTTAAGTAACTTCCAACTTATGGGGACCCTATGAGTTAATGTCCTTCAAAATGTCCTATCATTGCCTTCCTTGATAGTGTCAATCCATCTCATGTTGGGTCTTCCTCTTTTCCTGCAAGCTTCGACTTTTCCTTGCATTATTGTCTTTTCCAGGGACTCTTGTCTTTTCATGATGTGACCAAAGTACGATAGCCTCAGTTTAGTCATTTTACCTTCTAGGGAGAGTCCAGGCTTGCTTAAATCTGTGGTTGTTGTTGTTATGCTGCCCTTCCCTGCAAGCAGGGCTCAGGGTGGGTTACAATAAAATTCAATACAACAACACACTACAGAATACAAGACTACCAAAATTAAAAACCAACAATAAATAACAATTAACACATAAGATAATCAGCTCAGGATGGCAGAAAATAGTTTTAAGGATAAAATTTTCACAGGCACCCTGGGGGGAATACGGGGAGTTGGTGGGTGGGGGTATGAGAGTGCCAGACCCCTGGCTGTACTGTTGCTGTCCTCAACTGAATGCCTGGTGGGACATCTCTGCCTTGCAAGCCCTGCAGAAAAGTAATAGATCCCAGCAGGGCGCAGATGTTCTCCGGCAGAGCATTCCACCAGGTGGGGCCAGGGCCGAAGAAGCCCTGGCCCTGGTTGAGGACAGCTGGATCTCTCTTGGACCAGGGACTACCAAAAGGTTCTTATTTCCCGAGTGTAGCGCTCGTCTGGGGGCATACTGAGAGGTAGTCACGAAGATATGTGGGTCCCTGGTCACTAAGGAACCCACTTTTTTGGGGTTTTTTGGAACATAAACTTAATACTGGATAGGACTTCTTGATAGGAGAGTAATCTACATCTACTGTTATCAGATCTTAGGCCAATTCCACTTTACTAGCTTTATTTTTTATAATCTTGCAGGAAGGAAGTTATGGTACTAGGTGGTTCAAAATGATAGGATGGAATACAGAAGCATTGTGATAATTCATTTGATAAAAGCTTATAATAAAAACTCATGTTTCCATCAGTCTAGAGCTGTGATTCATGGAAAAGGAAGACTATCCATTGGGATTCAGCCTGTCAAGAATAGATTGTGATGTTGCCAATAAAAACATTAGGACCAGAGTTGCAAGCTTTAGTCAAATGGTGGGGGTGAGAATGAAGGGCCTCCATATTTCTTAAGCAAGGAGCTGGACCTCAGTGGCAGGACAACTGCTTCGCACACGGAAGGTTTCAGGTTCAATTCCTGGCATCTCTGGTCAACAAGGTCGGGTAGCAGGAGTTGGAAAGGAGCTTTCTCTGTCTGAGAGAATGTCGAGGAAAATGAAAATATAGCATGACTTGGCATAGGGCAGGTTCAGGCATTCCTGTTAGTTAGTCTGGCATATTAACACCAGTGGATCTTGTTTTACTAAGTTACTGGATACTTTCCGCTTTATTCTCACAGACATACCTTTGTCCACCAACATACACATTTATTTAGATTGGTTAAAAACACCAACAATTAAAAATCTATTAAAAATGCCTCTGCAGAGCCTATCAAAAGGCTCGGGAGCTCCCGAGCCTTTTGATAGGCTCTGCAGAGGCATTTTTAATAGATTGACTTTCCACAGGAAGGATGTGTGTCTCTGTGTGAACTGCAGCGACATGTAAAGGACAAGCTGGGCACTTGACCTTCAGAGGATATAATTTGCCTGGCCACCAGCCAGAGGGTAAACAACAGTGAGAGCAACATGACCTGCAGCCTGCAATGAGTCTGGCTCCAAAGCTGCAGGGGAATGACGGAGCATCCCCATCCATTGGGCCCAGTCAATGAGGGTCAGCCTCGTGGCTTGATACGGCTCCTGGGGGGACCGCCTACAACAGCTAGTTGCCAATCTAGTGGCAAGAGAGCTGCAGTGAAAACATCCAGCCCACTAAGCAGTCTGGGTTGTGGCACTAGCTTATCACTCCACCCCCTCCCTTCATGTCCTCACCTGCCTGTGACAGTCCTCTAGCTGTCAACTTTTGGCTGTCCCTCCTGCATCAGATTACTTAGCCTGGGCCCTGAGCTAGATAGCCCAGGCAAGCCCAATCTCATCAGATCTCGGAAGCTAAGCAGGCTCGACTCTGGCAAGTACTTGGATGAGAGACCTCCTTTGAATACCAGAGGCGGGAGGACAGGGGCAGGCTTTATTCAGCCACCTCTGAGTATCCTCCAGGCCCCCGGTAGGGGTCAGTCACCAGAGGTCGCCATGACTTCCAGGTGCATGCACACACACTCACATATATGTAAAAGATTACCTAGCCTGGCATCTACTACAGCCTGCTCCTTTCCAAGAGTGGCTTTCACTTTGTGGAAGGAGTTCACTATGGAGCTGTTATTTTTTTTGGGGGGGTGCCAAAATGCTGTTTTATTTGCCATGGCTTTTAATGGGGTTTCAGTTGCTGGGATTTTGGGGGAGGGAGTGTGTAGATTGTTATTATGGATGGCAACTGAATCTATCACTAAGTACTGAGTTTGGGATATAACCCCAGAGTAGAGACGTGGTCGAATCTTACCCCCTCTGCCTCAGTTCATAATTTGATGCAGCCCTCTTGAGATTCCATTCAGGCTCAGCAATGAGCCTTGGACATCTGTGTGTGCGTGTCTGTGTGTGTGTCCAGGGCTCAAAAACGGAAGACCTCCATAATTCTGAGAAACCATCGTTTACTTAGAAACTTTCAACTTCCACTGTGAGCCCAGGAAAAAGGGAAGGGCATGAGCCACAAGGGAAATGTGACATCTAAGTATTTTTAATAAATGACTTCCAATGCTCCTATAACAGCAAGTTGTAAGGCACAGCTAAATTGTTCTCTCTTTGGGAAGCTGGAATTATATTTTTCATAGGACTGTCAACTGACAGGATTTTTCAGCTCCTGCCTTAATAGTTTAACTGAATTTTAAACCAATTTCAGCACTTCTGAAACCTCTGCAGAGGCCAAGCCCTCAGCTGCAATACCTTTTTGGAAAAAAAGTATTGGATAACTTACAATTTACTTGCCACCTACAGTTTAAAGGAAAGATTACCTGTAATATCTTTCAGTTCCGTTACAGTAACACAAGAGAACCCAAAACAGTCTCAAAGAATCAAATTGTGTCTTTGATTTGACCCTCAATCAGTTAAAGTGCCACTTGTTTGATCTACTGGTTAGTGCTTGCAGCCCTGTTTTCCACAACTCCTGAAGTCCTGTGGTCCCAGCATATGGGCCAAGACCCAGTTTGAGACCAAAGCAACCAATTACAGTGGCTCTGGGAAATGCTGCATCCTCTCAAGTGGCACCAGTTTCCGAGTGAGAGCTTTAGAATATTCTCGGAATTAAATCAGTGCAGCAGCTGCACCCACATGTTGAGAGCATGCAAAGAGACCACAAAAAGAACAGATTTATCCACTCCTCCTTCATTCTAGTTTGGCAATGGTTTGCTGTTTCCAAATCTGTGAAAGTACAGGTTGGTTACGGGGAGGATGCTGCATGAAAATATCAGGAAGTGTATCTATAGGTGAGCCAAGAACTCTGCAATTGCTGCCTTGCTTTAGGGATTTAAAACAGGTCAGCTTTTAATAAAGGCAGATTGTAAGGATGGAGTGGATTTTGGAGAAGCACTTGGGAGGATCTCCGTTCCTGCAAAGTCTGATCTTTCAATATTTATTTAGCCAGCTAAGTACCTAAAACAGAAGCTGGCATTGCAAAAGGCAACGTTATCTTGAAACCCGTATGTGTTGCAAGGAATGCATTTATTGCTGCTCTCATGAGCAGCCACTTCCTTGAACTTTAAGATCAGAAGCATTTGTTCATCTGCCTCAAAGAACACATTGAACTTAGGGGTTTTAAATAGCCACTTGCTTGATGTGCCTGGAGACAAATATAAATTTCCTTCTGAGGTCCAGGTGGAAACAGAGAGCTTGTTCTTTTTCTTTCAAGTGCCAGTGTGCGATAAAATGACTATGATAAGTATGGATGAGCTCAGGCTAGCCCAATCTTGTCAGATCTCAGCAGCTAAGCAGGGTCAGGCCTTGGATAGGAAACCACCAAGGGAAGTCTAGGATTTCTATGCAGAGGCAGGCAATAGCAAGCCACCTCTGTTTCTCTATTTTCTTCAAAACCCTATGGGGGTCACCAAAAGTCAGCTGCAACCTGACAGCAAAAAAACCCCAGTACAGATGGACAGGAAGACTAATGACTTTGAGCTTACCTGCCAGGTTGATTTAGATTCTTTGTGTATAAACCACTGGCCCTGTGACTACAGTCTGATTTTCTCTCTTTCTCCAGTCCATTGTGACATTAGAAGACGGAAAACTTGTTCACGTGCAGAAATGGGATGGAAAGGAGACAACACTAGTCCGGGAACTGAAGGATGAAAAACTAATTTTGGTAAGAAGGTCAAAGTACATCTCTGTTAACAAAAACCTGTCGCCTACGAGAAAAGTGCCTAGGGGGGTAGTTTCTAATGAACTTTTTAAAAGGGGTCCACCTCAGGTATATGAAAACATACCTGGCAAACAGGCTTTTAAAAGTTAAACGTGAATTTTGAAACCATTTTTGTTTATATTTTTCAGACTCTGACCATGGGTGACGTAGTCTGCACTCGTATTTACCAGAAAGCGCAGTAACAGCTTCCACCTGCTTTCAACCACCAGTCATTGAATGCCAACCTCATTGCCAAATTGCCTACATTTTTTTTGTCCAGTGTTTTGTATAGTTATTGGAGTTTTGAACCCATTTGGTATCTGACTCTCCTCACAACTACCTATCAAACCAATCCTGTTTTTTTTTCTTGCTTTTAAAAAAAATTAATACTGGGGGGAGAAACACAGTGGAGAATAATAAACTGAAGTTGTTATGTAATGGCATCTGGGTGTTCGTGTGCATTTCACTGGTGTTGTGTTTGGGATCATGGGCAGTATAATATCAACCTTATTCATACCTCACACTTGTCAGAAGGCTCGATAGTAATGGTACCAGACAGCTTTGTAGTTAAGACATGCTGAACTCTTAAATCTGCATTCTTGGAAGAAGGCTTTCTAGACAGGAGGGAGGGAAAGGCAGCCTTTGCCCTTCTGCTCCCCCCAACACTGCCACTATGTGTTTCTATTGCTAACAGGAATCAAGGCACTTTCTGGAAAGCCCAAACTATAGGAAGAGGAGGAGAGTTTGGAGGCAGCCACGGAGAAGCATGGGGAAGGGGGGGGGAAGAGAGAGAACACTGCCATTCTGAAAGGCTGGGGTTTTGTTTTTTTAAGAAAAGAAACAAACTAGGTAAGCAGAGAAAGAGAAAGGAGGTAGCTATTTAAATTCTTCAATAGATGTGCCTGTAACTATATGAGTTAATTATGTGGGTGAGTGGGGGAAAAATAAGAGGATGGATGTTATGAAAATCCATTTTTTTTAATCAAAGCAACTCAGAGCTGGGAACTGAAAAAGTATGGGATGAAAAGAAGAGTACTTGGGAATTGATATTGCCATAGGAGAAGGAATTCAATGTATTTTCATTGCCAGTGTGATGTAGTGGTTAAGAGCAAAGGACTCTAATCCGAGAGAACAGGGTTTGATTCCCCACTCCTCCACATGCAGTCAAGCTGGGTAACCTTGGGTCAGTCACAGTTCTCTCAGAGCTGTTCTCTCAGCCCCACCTACCTCTCAAGTGTGTCTGTTGTGGGACGAGGAAGGGAAGGAGATTGTAAGCCACTCTGAGATTCCGAGTGAAGGGTGGCCTATAAATCCAATCTCTTCTTCTTCTTCTGAAGCCACCAATCAGGTATTAGGAGATATTAAGCATTTATATTTCATTAAAGCTGTAATATTCAGCAGTTTTAGGGGACTGTTCTATTTATTCCCATGCAGTGCTCAGAGAAGGCAATAAGAACATAAGAGAAGCCAATGTTGGATCAGGCCAATGGCCCATCTAGTCCAACACTCCGTCACACAGTGGCCAAAAATACCAGGTTCCATCAGGAGGTCCACCAGTGGGGCCAATACTATCTCCATATACCGGGGGCAGATGGGGTTTTTATTAAGGAGGCAAGAGAAGAAAGGTTTTTGACCAAGATAAGTATATGATTGTGCTGGCAAGAGAAGTTATTAGTAAGGAAGAGCCACTGAGGTAGTACAAGCCACTTATTTGCCCTGGTTCAGCTAAAGCAGAGCCCTCAATATTGGGCTCTGAGTTCATCAACATAACAGTATAAGACAAACACCACAAGCAAGCCTACCCCGTCCGCAACATCACTGTGCAATGCTTAGGATATACTGCTCAAAATTTACTTTGGTGCAGATACATGTGATTAATCATGAGAATGTTCTACCTTTCACCCTTTAAGTAGGCTAGAAATACACAACATAAGGCTCAGACTCAGAAATTAGAAGTAAACAAACCTATAGGGTTATCAAAGGGGAGACTGCTATGCTTTTTGGAATGCAGGCCCGAGAATTTTCTGTTTTATATAAAACTTCTAATGTTTGAGTCTGAGCCTTATGTTGTGTATATATATCTATATATATATCTATATATATTTTCTGTTTTATATATATTAAAAAAGATTGCAGGCTGGAGTCTTAACTGCACATACAATAATGAAGGGCGTAAAAACCCTCCACCTAATCGTGTATATACCACTTTAAACTGAACTATCCACAAATTCCTATTGAGAGAAAGGTGGGGGGAATATACATTGCCTGGGTCACTGAATCCTGCTTCCTGAGAATCCAAGCTTGGTTGTCTGTTTTCCCAACCACACGGGCTTTTGAGATTGGCTCAGGATTACTTTTAAGCAGGGGTCATTTCGTAGAAAAAGAGCTAGGGGAACTCATTAGCATAACTCATTAGCATATGCCGGCAGTGGACCTGGCCAGCGGGAGTGCGAGGAAGCCCCGCCAAGACCCTCCCTGGCCCCAGGCAGGCAGGGGTGGGGAGAGGCGGGGAGGAAGCAACTTACCATCCCTCTTCTCCTGCCTCCTCCTGCCTGAATGAGGGCTGGAAGCAGGGCGGCCGGAAGCAGGGGGCGGGGCTTCGTCATGTGCCCCGCCCCTCTGCACCTCACCCAGGGGAACTGTGTTCCCCCGCGTTCCCCCCTGAAATGACCTCTGCTTTTAAGCCTCAAGTGCATCAAACACAAAAGGAAAATCAAGCTTCTATTAGTCAAAGTGTGGTTTAAAGGATCTGCATAATCTGGCCTCTCTTTGACTATCACAAAATAAGTTGAAGAATAAATAAGACAGCTTTTCTTGCATCAGAATTTGGAAAAAAAATTTGTTAAACACAAACAGTACATGCCCTCATTTAAACTGTATACTGCAAGACTTAAACTGCCTACCCCTCATGTCTAGCCCAAACTTTTCGATTTGTGCTACAAATGCTCATAAAACAGTTTGGCACTTTATGAGACTATGCTGCATTATAGCGTAGGCTCAGATCTCCAAGGGTGCCGTGTCTATACTGGAAGAAAATGTGGTTACATAACAGCAAAACACTTTTTCAGGAAAGCTTCAAAGAGCACTCTCCCACAGTATGGGCATTAAATCAAATTTAATAATCATAGTTCCTGGGACACTCAAAGCAACTGATGAATCTGCTGTATTGTTGAGAACCATAGAGACAACAGGTTGACAAGGGGGAGAGGGAAGCAATCAGCAAATAAGCTATGCTTTAAAGAATACTTTGAATGTAACTGAAGGACCACCTTCTTCCACTTAACCACTTGTTTTACGGCCTAGAATAAAGCACAGAGAAGAACTGAGCCCTAAACGAAATCAATTTTATTTCATAACCTATATTTTTAGCAATAACCACATTAACTCATTTTTTGAAAAACCTGATTGCCTCTACATAAGAAGGCTAATGGATTTCCCCCCCTTCAGTACTGCTGACAAATAGGATCACAGCAAATGCAGTGGAGTGATTGTTCTGCACCAATCAGCCCACAGCTAGACTGTCAGCTCAGAGGATGTGTCCACTGCTCTTTCTAATGGCATGCGGAATGGCTGGTAGATGCTGAATCAACACCCAGCTGCCATCCCATCTGAAGAAGCCGGTGCACCGCCTGCCCAATGATGCCTTACGTGCTTCTCATAGATGGCTTAGGGGCTGTTCCCCAAGGGCTGGCTGCAGCCCTGGCATGTTTCCCGGAAGAAGGATATTACAGAATGAGAAAAGTGCCAGACAAACAAGCGCAACATCTGGGCCGAGGAACGCCCAAATGGCAGCTAGCTCCCCCTTTCCCTCTTTGTGGCAAAAACAAAAAAGAGACAGGCCTTGTGAAATGCCATAGGAAACAATGCAGCTATTCAGAGAAGGAAAATCCTTTTGCCTTAAAGCAAGAGGCAATGTCTTAGCTGTTCTCTTCTCTGACTGATTACTCTGGGAAGCCAAAAGGAAAGGAGGGGTGGGGTGGGAGGCACGTTGTATCAGCAGGGCCTGTTGCTTAGCATCTGCTCCTCATTCTTTGTGCTTTTTCTTATGGTGCTTCTTTTTCTTCCTCTTCTGAGATGCACTCGCCTTTTCAGTATGTTTTGCCTTCTTCTTGGAAGGCTGATCCCCGCCGGCGTCTGAATTACAGCTGTCGGAATGATCTGATTCAGAAGGGATTTTACTTTTGTGTTTCCTTTTCTTCTTCTTTTCCTGTCAGAGGGAGTCCATCAATCAAAACCACGTGTGATAGGAAACGTTTCTGTATACTCACTGATTAAGCTAAGAACTGCGTGTTATAGCAAAAGCTTTGTGTGTGTTAACTGAATGGAAATAGAGACAGCTGCTGGCAACATAGCCTAGGGTATGGTGCAATATGCTGTGCCATAAAAATCTAGGCCAATTACCCACCTTTACAGCAATCCTTAATTTTGTTGGACACACTAAGTGGCTACTCCAGTTTTTCTGGTTTCAGTTACAAGGTAACCACTCTCTTATTTAAGTGGGCTTCTTGAACTACCAGAGCAGAAATGTATTTCAGTCCTCCTGCTTTCTCCAAAAATGGTAAAGGGAATTATATCAACTGGTGACATGCAGGATATTGAATTCCAGAGATCAGAGAAAAGGGAAGCAGGTCAGGGAGCAAAAGGAGAGAGACAGGCTGGAAACAGATGCCAAAAGGCATTTATTCGTGAGGTCCAGATTCAGCATAGTTTCTGAAAGGGATTCTTCTCTTTTGCCATGGACATCAGAAATCATTATTCATTAGCTGGCATTTTATATACTTAAAGAACAGACCTCATTTGCCACTGGCTTGAGGCTTGCCCCCCCTCAAACCCTGTAACATATCTGTGAAGGCCAAAACTCTGAAAATCAGTTAATTTCAAAAGCTGTTTGAAGAGAAAAACTTGAAGAACTGCTGTTTTTAGTGATTCTCAGTGTATGGATTAAAGTGTCTACCTCTCCCTACATAACTTCCCTTCCTATGCATGTTTCTTGGGATAACCTCACTCCCTGTCACATGTTCCCATTAAAATCTGCTTCACCGTGTGTTTACATATGGCAAGAAGCTGTGGCAATCTCAGCTCCCTGTTGTAGCTACTTGTGAGTCAAATGCAGCTGAAGACACATATGAAGAAATACATTAGGCATTTCCCTGCAGAAGAAAAATATTATACAGGAACATATAAAGAGTCATGAGTGAAACGGCCCTCAAATGTTAACTTCATTCAAAACTCCTTAGAGGAGGTTGTGCAGTATTCTGTTTCAGAAGTGTTAATGAAACAGCTGGCAAAATATGAGCACTGGGAACTTTTTTTAGATACAGGACATATTGTTTCAGAGCTAACCAATCAGCAGACCAACCAGGCCTTTCTAAAGCTGCATGCCCACGCTTCTAGAAATTACAACAAAGCCATTCATGA